ATCCTAATTCCCCACCCACAAACCCCTATAACCACAGTTTCTATAGGATAAAATGCTGGGACTATGAAGTGCACTACTTAAACTACTGTCGCCGAATATCTATACCATTTCCTCTACAGCTAACTAGGGGAAGGTACCCTGTTATACGTTTAACGAGTGCAATGACTGCACAGTCCACAGACTAGAAAACTGGCATATTAATAAAGAAAACTTAAATAATACATGGTGCAATAACACACGGCAAGACTGAGCTCAGTTCTTTTTCTATATTCAGATAACTAAGTATTCTAAATTAGCATCGTGTTGTCATCTTTGCATAGCTGCGGATGCGCAGAGACTTGGGGATACATAGATAGGGTGGACCTTGCAGAGTATCACATAACACTAAAGAACTGTCTCTACTTCGACCCATCATCGTTCTTATAAGTACTTGCTCAACACTTCAGCTTCTTTGATCGACGCCTACGCAGATGTGTGCCAGTAAAAAGGCGCAATATTAGGAAAAACGGTTTATTCCCATTATTCAAATACTCGTTGAAGAGACTTCCGCTCTTAAGGCGTAATGACGGAAAGCAGGAGCAAACTGATTTTCGCACTGCTTCGCAAACTGCGCCTAGTAAAACGCGAGTTTTTCAGCCCTGCGTGAGAATAAAACGGCATGTAGAGTTAATTAAGTTTGGCCGCTCTTTCCCTAGAAGAACACATAACGCCTGATGTTGGAAGTAAAGAAAAATACTCAAACTCGTGATGTTTGAGAAAATGCAGCCTTTAGTCCGTATAAAAAGCAGTTTTCTTAGTGTTCTTGCTACGACAGATTCTTGACGAAAAATATCTGCAAGTACTAGCAAGCACTCATGTTGTTCATAGGGCAAATTTGTTAAATTTGTTAAATTAATCTTAAGGTGACTGTTTAGGAACTTTACCGACAAGAGAAGAAGTTATGTGATCTGAGCATAGCTTTTTTTGGAAATTTCAATTCTGTGGTTAGTTTAAATTATCTGCATTTTATCAAATACTTTTATGCTTAACCGCCTTCTGTAGGATTAATTTAAGAACCTGTGTCTGCGTAAATTTTCATCCACTGATATAACAGCCAAAAGTCTTTAACTGAAGCGCAGGCAACATCTGTCGCAAAGTTTGTTGCTCTTAGCTGTGCGTCTAAAACATGCAAGCTTTTCAACCGACACATTCTTAAAACAGTTCAGTGTAAATTAGACGACACCTGGTGGTTGTAAGTGACGTTCAATTTTTCGCCTAAGCGCGTCATAACAAGTTGTAAAACTTTTATAGAGTAAGTTATTTACCAGACAAATTTCCAGCAAACAATATGCATGAGGCGTATCGGTAAGCATGTCATGAATACAAGTTATCTGCCAAGACAAGTTGTTTTGACAAACGAAAAAAATGGATCCACAGACAATCAACGGAGACAATCCGATTTGTTCGTCTAAACAGACAATCAACTCGGCTGACATCTCGTATTTAGACTTGCATTCGGAGGAAATGGCGTGATACAGATCTAATAGGGGCAGCCGAATACATTTATGAAGCCAGCAGTGTTCTGTTTGATTGGCAGTTCTAATTATTGTGCAAAAACAACAACTCACGAAATATTAAGATAGGAAATTCGGCAAAACTCAAGTGAAGTGTCATCAGATAACCAGTGCATAAAAAAGGTCGAAGCAGAAATTTTAGCTCAATACTAGGGCTCTTTCAATGTAAAAAGAAGCCTTAGAACAGACTGAAACCTTTTAAAATTTAAAACGCATGTCTGCTTGTCAAATGACTAGATGGTTTCTTAAACACTAGGTGCCGAGACCGATACGACAAAGCAGTTATTAAACAGCTCTAGGGCCCAACATGCATGCGTGAGAGGGGAATCATACAAATCACAGGTTGCTTATGTCATAAGTATCTGGCCCACAATTCATTAGTGAAGACTATGATC